CAGCTTGAGCCGAATGGGGCTTGCTCGGGCCATCTGCAATGTTAGACTTTGACGGCACTCGCGCGAACCAACACAGCGTTGGTTCGGATTCAAGCGGATCTTCCAGCGTCAGGAGGAGTTCTCTTCACAGTGGCACGAAAGCTGCACCCTTAATGAGGACATCAAGGGTAGGCCAATTGTCGATGAAGACAATCACACACTTCCCGGAAAACCGAGACCGCCAATGTCTGAGAGCTACGATAGCTCCATAGAGCTCTACCAGTCCAACGACATGTACTATTCCATCAGATCGCCAATGCATCAGCACATCATGTGGGACTGGGCCTCCGAAAACTGAGGCCGAGCCTTCTTGCTGCGGTTCCATGAGCACTCCTCCTATTGATGCTTGCGACCCTTCCAAGGCGCCATCTGTAAAGAGCAGGAAAGGTCGAGTAGGCACAGAGGCTTTGATGGTCCGTGGACGACCGTGTAGCAGTCTGCCCCGCAAAACTCGCAGCGCTGCAATGCAAGGGTCATCAAGGTGGACGGACGGGAGTCCTTTGCAAGTGATTCAGTTGGCGCAAGTCATATAGCGCCAATCTGCCTGCTCGTCCCCATAGCTGCGCCTCGGCATACTGAAGTTTCCCCAAGAAGGATGGCAAGTCTGCAGGCACCAAGCTCGCGCTTGATATGGCAGCGTCAAGAGCAGCGTCAAGAACAGGTTTAAGTTCTCGAACTCGAGACTCCTTGTTCCGGATTTGGATGATACCCCGCGGTGCCTCACTGACATCAAGCTGCACTCCTAGCATGTCAGCCAACTGCGCAAAAGGGTTCAGCTTGTCATCTGCAAAACCAAACCCTAACAAAGACAGCAAGCTCTTGCATGCAGCCATGTTGGAGGACTCAGTCAACGCATGTGAAGCCATTGGGTAATCATCAAAATAAGATGCCCAGCACACTCCGAGGGCACAGCCTGCAGCATGTAGTAGGGTGCTCAGCATGAAATAGCACTCGAGTTCACGTGTGTCTGGGCACTTGATGCAGATCACCGACTTGTCGTAATCCAGCGGGTGCAGCGGGAGCTGCTTATACGCTGAACGCAAGTCCAGCGAGGTAACCCTCAGGTCAGCTCCGTGCTGCATCCATTGGTCATGCACAGGCCCAGTAAGCCGCTCTCCTGTGGATAGGGTGAAATCCACGACGCCACCTTCACGATAAAAACGCGTCATGATGTTTAGCGACCACAAAAGGTGGTCCATGGCTTGGAGCACCACGCGCTCAGTGCAACTGTACGCCTCATTCACACGATCTTTTTTTGACTCACAGCGTCCTGATTCCGCTAGGTCGCCTGGTGTAGGCCGTGCAGGTTTTCACCCGGAGTCTCTTGGACTCAGCCACGATCGTGCCGCAACACAAAGCAACGTGGCTAGCTGCAACCGGTGCGAACACCAAAGCATTGCAGCCAGCGAGCTATACAGAAACAAGCTTACAAATTGACTTGGTTGTTTTCGTGAAACCCACTATTGTGAAAACATCAGGTGACAATGCCTCACTGAAACCATGTAACTGAGAGCCGTCAACTGCTGTAACCCACTGCTGATGCTTCTCCAGAGCAGGGCATGTTGTAAATTCCCATGGTTCGGGATTTGTTCATAATAGATGTCGCTGAGCCCAACCCAGCGTCGTGAGGACCATCTGCAACCACCGTCTCTCTGGTGTCATCTGTATTGTGATACATCAGTACTGACAATGAAAGCCCAATCCCGTGAGTAGCTCCTTGTCCTCATCATTAAGCACTGTAATGCCCTTGTTGGCATACGCTACCAGTACAAACCTTTGTCCTTTCCATGCCATTGTGGAGTGCAGCCAATGGGACCTGAACAAGACGCAGGGCACACCCACATTGTATACCCGGCCAATCATATCCCTGTTGGAGCTTTGCTTCGGCAGTGCTTGCTCACAAACCCATAGTCCTCCGCCCTGCCAGCGGCCACAAGCAATCATAAGGTTGGGAATGGCAGCATGATTCTGCTTGTCAAGGTGTGGCGCCATGTAGGTATTTAGACGCAAGCTGATGGAGCTGAAGACGTGCAGCGGTTTCTGACCTCTCACCCATGCCGTGAGCAGTCTGGAGACCCAGGGGAAAAGCCTTGTGTTCTTTGTGACCCCCCCGATACCACCCTGTACGTAGCTACCCCAGGTCAACGAAAGCGACTTACCATGTTGCTCAACCGCAAACTCTGTACATTTTCGCTTCCTTGCTTTGGTGAGCTCCGGCAAGTCCTGAATGATGGCTCGCAAGAAGTCCTGCATCATCTCAAGATTCAGACTGCCCCGATGCAACATTCGGAATGCGAATAGCTCCAAGGAATGATAAGGTGGCTCTTCCAAGGATAGGACTGGAGCTGCCAAAACACATGTGTAATCCAGAGGCACATTCCACTGCTCCAGGAGCTCCGCTGCTGGTGAAGAGTACGGCACCTCCAATGTAATATGGGGTGCAGCCACGAGCCCATGTTCCGACTGCCGTTCATCCGGCACCGCAACCACTCTGCACCCCTCATCGAATTCCTCCATATCAATTTCTGTGATGGCATACTCCGCATGAGGCGAAGCTGAACCATATGTGTTCGAGTCATCAATAACCACCGCATCCTCCACCTTGTCTATAGACTCCCCTTGTAGCAAGGCTCCCACCTCTAATAGCTGCTCTGTCTGGTTCTGCTGAGCCACCTCGCTGCAAGCCGTCATCGGACTATACTCTTCTTCTCTTTCCTCCTCCGCCTCCGCTGCATCACTCATATGCGAGATGCCCAATATGGAGGGCAACTCCAGCTGCCAAAGATCCGGGTCTACCCCTGTTGGCACCAAGCACTCATCACCCTGGAACACAATAGCACGCATAGGCATGACCCCACGCATGCCCGCACCCCGTACCCAGAGACGAAATTGCTCACTGACCCCAACTGCGGTCCCAATGCAGACAATTGGCATGACACTGATTAATACGAAGTGCAGACAGCAAGTACCTTCACTTTTGCGTCTTCGTGCTATAGGTAGGTCCTTCATCCCCGGATCTCTCACCCGGACTCGGCCCCAACACCTGGCAGGACCGGCCCGAAAATAAGGCACTATAGCAATTGCACTGCACCCCCCATCGGGTGCACTGCTCTCCGGCGCTTACAGACCAACATGTACACATTTCTTGATTCTCTGGTCCCTTCAGCCGAGTCTCGCGCATGAAACACTGGTTCGGCATTGTCGTCACAAATTGTGTCCCCCTCTGCCTCGGCCAGGTGCACCGTGTAATGCCCTGCAAGTACAGAGTCGCCATGATGCATTATTGCCGCTATACTACGTCATATTCCACAGTGCCTGAAGATAGCTCATTGTCACCTGTGAAAACGGGCACGTGCACAGCTTCTCTCCAGGCGATACGACAGTCATTCTTGTGCGCAATACCAGGTTGCCCGCCATATCTGGAAAAGATCAAAACCAAAATGGTCGGCGCCTGCTTGAATGCGTGCGTGTGAGCCTGTGCATGCCACATATGTAGCAAATACTGAGCGTTGTGCAAATCCCCTTCCGGAAGCTCCAAACTAATAGCCTGGCGACACAGTCCCTCATCGACCACAACAACTCTCCTGCCCTGTCTGGGGCTGTCTTGCTCCCGCCTGGCCTCCCACTTGCCACTGCATAGAGCTGGACCTATTTTGGCCACCAGGTGTGTCAGGTACTCTGCACAATCATGCTGCTGAGCTGGTGACCTCCACCCGGCCAAGACTGCGCCAAAGAGAATATGACCTGCAATGAGTATTCTCCTGCTGCGGTGCCCCAAGAGACCCCTGATGAGGTTACGACCAATATTCGTAAGCGAAGTCTCCATCCTTGGATCTGTGGCCACCACCCACAGCATCGTCCTGACTGCAGCGTTCACATAACAATAATTGGCACTGTTCCTCAGTATGAGGGTCCTCACTGAATGAGCTCGGCCAGCTTGCTCACTGCTGCGGATCTCTTGTATCCTTCCTTGCGAATCTGCAGCCCTCCCATCTGTAAGGACGCCTGCCCCATCAACTGCTCTAGCAAATCGTAGAACTTGTTGGCCTCTGGCTTGCGGAAGTTTACGCCCAGCTGCAGAACCACCATGGCCCCCTGCATGTTCGGAGTCAATGGTCTCTTGGAATGGAAAGCTGTGACGATCTCCGCCGTGGTCAGGGCTTTGAGGTCCTCCACCAGTTTCATCATGGCTGATGTTTGTAATGGCACTCGCGCCACGTCCTGCTCCAGGGCTTGGTTCGCCGGCGACCATTTCTGGTAGACCCATTGCCCCTGCTCGGTGCACCATCCCGACTCTTTGGCCTTCTTCATCTGCTCCTCCGTGACGTTCTTGAGTATCTCCATCACTTGGTTGAGTAGACACCAAAGTAGGGTGGTGTGCAGGCTGACACCGCTGAGCTGACTGTTCGGTTTTGTGATCTCCTCCTTCCACTTTTGTGATGCCATCACCAAACCTGGAATAACCGATGGCGTCTCCGTCCGGGCAAAGATCACCCAACTGGTGGACTGCTTCAGTATATTGAGTGTATCCTCCTGCCGTATCACCACTCTGCAAAGGAGTTTGAGCAACTCGTCGGCACCAACTTCCTCGTTCTCCATGTTCTTGACTGTTGCCCTCTTGCTGGTGCGATTGGCCCTCCATCCGTGGCTCCCTGCGCCCCTTCCTGCTCCCCCTTTGCCGTTGGGTCGATTGTGCTTGTCCGGTCTGGAGTCGGCTTCGTCCAGCAGGGTGGTCTGCGCCCGCTTCCCTGCCGTACCCAGCACAGCCCGGAACACCTCCTGCATCTGGGCCTCCGCCTGTGCTGCTATGAGCGCCATGGTCCACTTGCTGTTGTTGGAATTGGTGTGCTCTAACTCTCTCCAAGGCAGTTTGCATTACGGCATGACAAGAAATCGCATGTTTGTACCGCCTATCATAATTAGAGTTACAGAACTGGCAGACTTTGACATGAAGTCCCGTGGCCCACGCGGAACAAAGCTTATCAACCTGAGATCGAACCAGCTGCCAGTAAGGGGCACGCTTTTGTGCCATGTGCTTGCGCAACCCTTTGGCAGTGACAGCGTCTGCGCAGATCTGACACTTGAGGTCCCATTTCTGTAACGTGTCCTCGCTGGGCAGTGATAGGTCAAGCGTTGACCAATTCCCCTCATCAGCCTCCTCAACATCATGCAAGATGACCCAGACCATACTGAGCTGATAAAGGACCGGACAAGTGTCCCTGTGGTCTGCTCTCTGCGCTGCCTGACCTCCGCACCAACGGCACGTGCCCTTTACGGGGCTGAACTGACTTCTCCTCCACTGTTGCGTGGCCGCAATGTGCAGCTGGGATTCGGACCGATGCACCCTCGTCCAGTGCTGCCTGACATATCTGTCATTGGGAAACCATTGTCGGCAGTAACTACAATGCTGTAATAGTTCACGCTGCAAGGCCTCAGGCATGTCTCCATTCAGTATATCTGTGCGAGGTCAAGTTCACCATCCTTAGTCCTTGTCATTACCGACTTGACCTGCTCAGAAGCAATTGGGATCCGTCCTTGACAGTGATTCTCCTCAATATGCTTCTGCAGGTCCGCCCACCTTTCAAAGGCATGTCCACATCCACTGCATTTGGGCATTCCATCCGTCCCATGCACCTGTCTATCAAATACGGTGGGCGCCGCACTCATGCGCTCTGCACTGTGCATCTTTGCCTTGTGAGCCCGCAGTGCGGCCTCATTGTCAAAGGTTTTGTCGCACTGATCGCATTGACATGAATGAATACCCGCCTGATCTTTCTCGCTGTCAGTTGCGAGTGCCTGCACCATATCCAATAGCTGTCTTTCCCTCTGTACAATGGTCGGATGTACTCTAAAGTCGCTGCCGTCACCTGTCCATAGGATATTCTGCGTGGTGTCAAAGATACGTTGCTGCTGCAACCTGATCATATTGTACGGTGACATCATGCTCAATCTGCTTAACAAAGCATGGTCGCTCTCCTCAGTCAAGTGCCTGGGACTGCGCGCGATCGCCCGAATCTGCCTCACAAACATCACCCTGATGATGTCAAAAGCCTGCTTCGTGAGCCCTGAAGCTCCCAGCGAGTAAAGGGTAGCCGGCACAACGAAGACCTGCCACAGTCGAAGCCGCTTCGTCAAGGATAGAGCTCTTTGTGACATGAGCGTTGGCCTCAATCTGGCAAACGCCGCCTGCCCAGCCTGCTTGCGATGTTGTGCATTTTGCAATTCAAACGCTCCATACGAGATCTTAGCTCCCAAGTACACATGTTGTTTGCGTAGCGGTAGTTGCCACCTACCGTCAATACACAGGATACGTTCCTCTTGCTTGTTCTTCTTGTGTACCAATTTGCGCAGCATGTGTGGGACCTGGACTCCTTCCGCTCTCAATAAGCAAACCGTCTTGTCCCTGCTTAGCAGAAAGCCTATATCCTCGAGAAGACTGAGGACTGTTCCCGCCTCCTGCAATGCCGAATTGATACCCGACCTGTCACTGAAGAGCCATCGGAGATGCAAGTCATCCGCAAATCCAACCAAGTGTTGTTGACTCCACGGCGTACCCAGAGTTTGATCAATCCGGTTCAGGATGTAGACAATCAGACAACACCAAAGCGTGCGACTGAGTTTACATCCCTGCCGAATACCCTTGTCAGAGGAATACGAGCACTGCGTGTCTGCTTTGTGAATATGGAAGGTGGTGGCCTGCGCCCAGCGCTTGATGAGCTCTTGAAGGTCAGCAGGCACCTCCAGAAAGGTCAGGGCCTGGAAAAGTAAACCTCGATCAGCTCGATCGAAGGCCTGAGAGAAGTCGATGCTGATCTGCAGTCCGCCCGCACATTGACTGCGGACTTTACCTGAGCGTAGCTCGTACAATGACCTGGTCTGTGCCTTTGCTAGATCTCGCGCCTCTGCGCAGTGGGCAAACACCAACTCCAATGCCTGCTGCGGCGATCGCTGCTGTATGTAACCAAACAGTGGAAGGTACGTCGCTTTGTCCATCAGATATGGAACGAGATGCGTCTTCAACACCCCACACACAGCCTTACCCATGGGATCAAGAAGTGTAATGGGCCTCAGGCAAGATGGGTCAGTACTAGTCTTCCCCGGTTTATTAAGGAACACCAACCACGCCGCCGCCCAGTCACCAGGTACTTCCGCCCTGCCCCGTCGCCATTTCCCAAACACCTGATCCTCCATGTAGTCCGCAATTGGCTCAGCGGCTAACTTCCAGAAGACGTGTGGAGCGCAGTGCTGCGGCGCAGATTTGTTAGCCTGCAATCCCCGAATAGCCTCCGCAATTTCTTCCCCAGCAAAGTTGTAACCCGTCATGATTGTAATGTTACTCTCATTCTCGCTGCCATTGACCGCCTTCCAAAAGTCGCACAACGCCTCCGCCTCAGCCCCCGGTGTCATGAGCGCGCCTTCCTTGGTCCTCAACTGAGCTCTGCGCCTGGCCTGTTTCGGTGCAATTTTTCGCAGCAAATCGAACAGGGCCTGGTTACAACCCGACTGGTTCTGAGCTTCCGCATGCTGAGTAAGGATGGCTAGCCTACTTCTCCTCATGCTGCGTGCCTGCTGTTGTATGCGCTTGTGAATTTTTGGAAACTGACCCTGTGTCGCCACTTTTCAATGACGCTGCGCAGGAAGGAACGTCTGTTGGTCCCATCAGCAATGATTTGCTTCATACGTCTGTAGTGATCCCACATGGTACGGATCTGCCCGACATATCCCGCCTCCTCCCACGGCGGTTTGGCGGCAGACGGCCGCCGTATCTGGAAGACGTCGTTGCCGACCTGTAAGAGTAATTGATTCAGTTGCCTAGGTTCGTACTCCCCCGTCGTGCGCAGGCGCTGTTCGACCTGCTGACGGAACTGGCCCACCAGGTCAGGATTCCCCCTCGCCGCCTGGGCAAGAAGCTTACATCTCCAACTGGGCCATTGTTGAACAGTGTGCGGTAGACAGGTCCGGAACCTCCGCATAGCGAATGTAGCCCATGTCGGTAAGTGGCGGCCCCCTTGCCGCCACTTTGCAACCGCCCACTCCTTGACCATTCCAGCTCTGTGCTGTCCCAGCTCTCTTTGCCTCACTAAAATGTAGTCTATGAACGAGCGCCGGGCCGGTTTGTATCCTTCGTGCACATAGGTATGACTGCCCCTCCTGCCATACGTGTTGACCGCTTTGAGTCTGTGATCCTGCAAGAGCGCGACCAAGTCCTCCCTATCAGGCCAAGCCTCATCCGGCGTCATCATGCCCGTACCTGTGCAATCTCTGACCGGCTCCAAGTTGCAATTGAGGTCACCTGCTACCACCAGCTTACTGCCTTGCGGTATTTGTCCCATTATAGCTCGTCTCGCTGCTGATGTCCCACCATGACATGCTGGTACACATTGACAGTCTCGATCCAACCCCCTTTACAGAAGGCCTTGACTTGCAGGACTCGACCGTCTACGTGCGCATGAAAGCGTGTGTGATCCTGCGGAAAGACGGATGCCCGGAGTAATGTCATGACGCCTGCGTGTGCGCGCTTGGCTGTGCCTCCTATACCTGAGCTGATGCAGTGCCATCCCCTCGTGGTATACTCCATGGATTCCCTGTACCAAGTCTCCTGCAGGAACACGATATCATAGGGCTGTTCCTCCAACCACGTGAAAAACTCATCACGAACATTCCCTAGCCCTCCGCAGTTCCACGTAAGGCATGAAATTTCCATGGTTGATGCCCTGATCTGACCTGTCCCACTTGATTGTGCTTGTCGGCGGTTTTGTCCCGATCCTCCTCCACCCACATACTGCCCTTGTAACTGCTCTAGTGTGTACTGTCTCCCCCTGTACATAGTGGGTCCCCGTCTGGCCCGATTAACAGCTCTTTTGTAAGCTCGTTTCCGTATCCTGGAAAAGGATGTGCTCGCATGTTGGCCTTGCCCGCCTATTTTCATGGGGACAGTTGGCAAATTGGTAACCTTGTCTTCCCCATTCCCAGGAGTCCGGCGAGACCCCCAACCCTCACTTCTGTCTTGACCCGGATTCAACGCCAAATGCCTGTACTCACCCGTGGTCTCAACCTCCGGATTTGGGACCGGAGCGGCCAATGTAAGGCTGTTTGCTGCCGTAATGTCTGATACCGTGCTGGCTGTATTGTCCCTATCTGGAATAGCAAGAACTGACTGCATGTGACATGTAAGAAGCAACATGAACCGGATGACCAGCGATCCCGCTGCCTGCTGCCCACGGTGGCTGCTCCTTGCCAGTCTCGTGCTTCGTTGCCTGATTCCTGAGTGTCCGCTGAATGTTTCCTCGTCCACGCTTGCTTATACGCCTGGGCTTTCGAGCTGCCTGCATTCCACAAAATGGGCCAGTCACAAGGAAGGGTGGCAGATGAACACCAAAATGCTTCAATCCATGTGCAAGCGCTCTGAGTCCAACTCCCATCCAACCTCCCAGTACTCGCTGTATAGCCTTCCGCATACAGATCTGCAGGATCATGGGTAAATACATCACCACTGTGAATATGTCCATCTGCACACTGCCTGTGGTCATCTCGATGACCAACTTGCACGCGCCCTGAACTGCTCTCACAAGCCACCCACAACCTCTGCGCACTTGACGCCATTCTCGAGGTTCGGACATACACCATCGCGATGCAACCTGCCCATGTCTGGATAGTTGCTTGTTTACTGTACACTCAACAACACAGCCATACGTAGCGCTGAGCAGACATGTAAACGCAACCACACATCCTGCAAGCATGTATGCTGTACCGGTGCACCCTTCGCCGATCTGTCCCTGTACATTGTTCTGGCCATCACTTGTGCTGGCACTGTCTGTGTAATATTCATACGAGTCACTATCCGGACCGGGCTTAGCTTGCGCGCTTGTGGCACCAGGCTGCTCCACAGCTCGGTTCCCATCCGCAACTCGCACAGCTGGCTTCGCGAGGCTCAGGTTGCTCGGTCCAGCGACTGCGACCCCCGGTGAGGTAGTACCGCTCCTCTGACCACTGGTCTTCTTCATCTTGGATGCCTTGGCCAGCTGGCCTGTGGTGACCGCCTCCTTCAGCTTCAGGTTGGGCTGACTGGAGCCTTTGACATTACCAGGAGTGACCTTGCGCCGAGGCCTTTTGCTGGCTTTCTCCAGCAGATCAACCGCTTCGAAAAGCCTGTCTTGCGAGGGACGCCTCTTCAACGTCACTCTCCCGGTACGCTTGACTTCGCCCTCTTCGCCAGCCATGGAGCTCGGAAGTTGCGGTTTCTTCCTTGCAGTGGTTCTCTATCATCCCCTAAAGCTGCAGAGATCCTGCGACGCGGGATGGGTGGTCTGCCATAAGGGTCGATGGCGGTGCGAGGCATGGTATGGGAAGTCGTCACAGAGGCAATGCCCTGACAGGTTTGAGCCCCGGCTATCGAGAACATAGCATCCACTGGGGTCAGGAAACTGCAAAACTGACACGAATGCCGCATGCAACTGTCAAACATGTAAGCTTCCCACTGCCCGCCTTCACCACCCTGTATGGTTGCCGGCAGTCCCCGCATTCCCAGATCTACATCGCACCTGCCGGCAGCACTGTGACTGGCATAGTGAGTCCCCTGCGTGGCATCAGGCGCAGCACTACTACCCTGTCCAATACCCAACTGCGCGGCCCAGTGCACTGTCCTGTCTTGACCATGACTGCTCAAGGGTATCAAGCTCCAGACCGAAGACATAAGAATAACGCTGCAAATCACATATCCCATGACTGGCGTCCTGCGCAACCCTGGCTTGAGCCAACGCTTTGTCTGCTCGCTTCCCAAATAGTGTGAAGCAGGGGATAGTGATTGCATACCCAAGCCCGCAAGCGGGTGAAGTCGTCTGCTGGAAGAAGCTCGCTGGCTGATTGTAATATCTCTGTTGCGGTTGAGCTCACCCAGATTTCCGCCGCCAGCTGTTGCACTCGTCCGGCCGCAACTGAATCCGAATGGTTGAGCGCCTCCGCCAGGATCTCCCTGGCTCGTACCCTCAAGTGGACTACCGGAGTAAGCCTGTCGCCCACTGCCTGCACTGACTGTGTGGAGTACGTACAAGAAGCTACCACAGATGAAATCATGCATGCAACCAAATCTCACGTTCGGACAAAATCAGCCACCGAAATAAATAAATCAGCCGTGCAAAATCCACTTGCAAATAATTCAGCGAAAATGACCAGAAAATTGATCTTCCCAATTGTGGAGCAGGTCAACTAACGCCGGAGGCTCGCCGCCTCAACCTGTCAAGTGAAATATGTATGGCTCGAGGTGTCAGCCGGCACCGTGGAGCGCTGACCCTCTTGTTAGCAGCTACAGCACTAACTCAAAACTACTTGGGCCGAGAAGCTTCATTCACACGATCCTCCTTAAAGTCATCGATCGGTCGCAACTTGGCACCTTGCTGGACTCCGAACCTTCTGACAGGCAACCATGTGTGATGCTGGGCAAACACGTTCTTGACAGTGTGGGGGCCATCCAGCCACCCCTTGTCCGTAGCCTCCTTCCGCGTGATCTCAAGCAGCTCGCGGCAGTGGGGGCCTTCAGGTTCTGCAGCAACTCTCGACAGGATGGCTGGTCTGAGGTAACGCGTGCTCCATGAGGTCTTGCTCGCTGAGGTTGGCAACCGTGACTCCAGGCCTAAATACATTAGATGGCGTGGCGTTGCCAACCAGTCTGAGTCCAGAACGCAGCTCTTGGCACAAACTTCTGTCAGGGTACTCGAGGGACTTGGCAATGCGCTCGAGCAGGACGGCGCGCCTTCGTCCAAGGACCTTCCGGACATTCGGGTGCATCCTTGCCCTGGCCTGTTGTTCTTCTAGCTGCAGTTCTGTGGACCATTTCCTCCACTTGCTAATCCGCTCCAGCCTTATTTTTGATAACTCCAGAGGACTGGCGTCCGCATCTGTCGCCTTGCTGGCATCGCTGGAACTGAGACCTGCTGCAGCTTGTTGATCTTCTGCCCTGCAGCAGGACAAAATGGGCAGGAACTCCCCAAAAACACGAGGAACATTGGCCGTCCCCTGTTGCCCCACTGCAACAGGCTTAGGCATCTCATGGGCATGTACGCGCCCCTTGTCCACATGATAGGCCGATAGGCACACCACACCTGGCGCCTCTAGCCAGGCCCTGACGCGCGCGCAACATCCGCACAGGCCGCATTGACTGCGCCTATCGGCGGGGCATCCGGCGATAGTCACTCATACTGCCCTTGCACCTCGGCAAGGCTGCAATCCAACGCTGCGTGCGCTTTGTGGCACCCTTTCACGGCACAAAGATGCAAGCCCTTGGCGCAGCGCTGATTCTGGACAGTCGCGCAGCACTTCTTCAAACTGCAGTCAAAGCAGAGGCGATGACCCTTGGGGGTTCCCCGACACACCCGAGAGCGAGAAGATCAGCAGGCACGCGCCCGGCACTCTCGCCTTTGCCCTCGCCCTTGCCTGCCTGGGCTTTGCTGGCCTTTGGCACCTTTGCTTCTGCCGCCCTCGACACGAGGGCGCTTCAGCGGCGGCTCACGCCCATCATCATTGTACACAGCTAAGGGTTTGCGCTGCAAAATGCTAAGAAACTCTGAGCTGGTCAAACAGGACTGGAAGGCCTTGTCACACGGCCGCCCTACTGCTGATGCCTTGATGCCAGATCGCATTGCCTCTGCGAGCAGCACAAAGAACTTCCTGTCGGCCGCTTGCATCTGCTACATGGACACTCTGGAAAACCCTGGCGAGGGCTCCTGCAAACGGTATTGGACAAGCTTTTCCACGAGCAAGTCGTGGTTTTCATACGACAGGACATTGGCTTGCTCCAACGCAAGCCCCCTTCGAACAAGACAATAACGCACCATCATCTCACTGCTAGTGTCGCACGGAGTTGCATGCTGCTTGCTGGCGAGTTTCAGGGTTCCTGATGCGTCAAAACTGAGCCCTGTGTCCTTCTTCAACCCTGTTGCCAACTCATGTTCACAAAGAGACGCATGTGCTCCATTCCTGACACAAGAGCCCATCGCTCTCATAAACGGCAACGGCTTTGTCTACAAGGGAATCGCCTGGCTCGTACTGCCCGCGGAGCTGCAATCCCTTCAGGCGGGCTTGCTGATCTGCAAGCCGTTGAGCTCTGTCTGCTGGAGCTAGCTTCTTCACAGCCGTATCATCAGAAGCTTCAACTTGTGACTTGATGTCTGAGGTACTGTTGCGTACGCCTCGGCAAAGAGGCGAAGCATGCATGACATCTCCGTGGTGCTGGGCGCGGCCCCCAGCACTTGCGTC